TCACTTTGCCTTGTTTACGTGATCCGTTCACATTTCTGTAGTATTCTGTAGCTAGTCGAAGGCCAGTTTTTGCTTAGTTACACAACATCTACAACAGAGTTTGTCTCGCATCGATTGTCGCACCGAGAAATCAACCTATCGAAAATTATTTAATTTATAGGTTCTTACCGATGTCAGTTTCTCACAAAATTACCTCATTTCAGTTTTTAAGTTTGTTTTTATGAAGACAAATTATCAATTATTATTTTTATTACACAAGTGTATTAGTATTGACATTGATGTATGGCAGGCTCAGTCCCATTTCCAATCTGAAAATTGCAACATCCATTACTCTAGCTCTCTCTCCTTATCCGCTGTCCCAATCCTAACCTACCTTCTTTAGTTGTCCCAAGAAAGGTTGGCATCAGACAAGTGGCTGATCATAAAATAAATCAATCAACATTGCGATGATGGTCCGAAATAAAATTAAAGAACTGCACTGCCTTTGATGATACTTCAGATTATGAGTCTAAGATGAATATTGGAATATATTGAGTATTATTAACTAACTTTAGAGCGTAGGGACCTAGGCGGTTTGAATTTCTTGTCACGAGTAAAAAAAATTGTAGAATTCTTTTCCCCTAAAGTTACTTTGTAGATCCTTTAGAGATTTGCAGTTTTGACTTTTAACAACGGTCGTAAAAGGTACTTCTGGATTTTTAATGAGTTAGTAAATACACCAGTTTTCTTTTTCCCATCAGCGGCAGTCAGCGCGATAAATTGTGCCGCGAGTGTGATTTTTCACACGCTTCTACGAGTATTAGCTAAACTTCTAACTGACTTTTTAGCTATACAAATAAATCTTGGCAGTTAATTTTCATTTCCTTCTAAGGTGTTAGAATGGAACTGTGTGTAAATAGAAAGAAAGAAAGAAGAAAGAAAATACGTTTATTAGTCACAACACAAACACAACAAAAAAGAAATTACAGATATAACATAGAAGAGAAAAAGAAAAGAAACAATTTGCTCAACTGAATAGCACAAACAATAACAAAAACAAACAAATACAAAGGAATAAATTATCACTGTGTGTGACTAAAGGGCCACAACTCAGCTTATGCTATAGTCCCCTAAAAGTGACCACAGCGCTGATTTTCAGCTGAAGCCCAAGTGGGTAGTTAAGATGACAAAACCATAATGTAGTATAATTACTATTTTACTTTACTTTAATTACTGCAAGAAATTGGCTAATGGATACAGTTTTAAACACGCTTTTATTAGCTTGGTATGTATAATAAAACCACGTTCGCAGATTCCGTTACATACACAGTAAAGGAATCTTCGAACGTGATTTTGACCCACTTCAAAACTTCGAATCAAATTGAAACTTCGCACACCTATCAAGGACCCATGTCAAACCAATCATCCTGATCAGGATCTTCAGAATTAACGGCTTATTCCATACCTCAAATTACGGTAGCGTCTTTTGCTAAGTACTAAGAGGCGTGTGCTGAAGCATATGTAACTTACTTACTTGTTACTTTTTTAATATTAATGAGAAAATAATCATCATTAATGACTAAAAAAGTAGAAAATAAATTATAGTTAAAAAAACTAAGACACGCTCAAAAATAGACAGACAACATCCGCACTAGGAATATATCCTGTGTCGCGGGGGAATTTACACACATACATGAAACAGACACAACGATCACCCAGCCTCAGAAGAACAACTTGTGGATCACACAAAGCGTAGGTCCATGTGGGGAACAAACCCACAACACTCGAGGCGGCGACGTGACCACTTAAACCGCTATGCGTGTAGGACACCAACTTTGACTTTTGATTTTATAGTAAAGGGAGGCAAATGAACAGACGGGTCACCTGGTGCTTTGAGGAGTTTGGGCTCCGGTGACTCACTCGGTGAAAAGCAACGAAGAACTGCTTTGCACTGGTTTTCTGTGAGGCTGTGGTACTACTACGGTCGAGCCGAGCCATTTATACTAAAGCAATTCTCTCCGGCCGAACTCAGGCACCCTACTCCGAGGAGGACCCGGACCATATTATTTCAGGTTCCCCCCTGGATCGATGCCGCGCCTAGTAAGCCGCTGGCTTGCGGCTTGCCTATCGACCCAAATATTACATGTCTATACCTAGAAAACAAACAAAGGCATTTTCGTGTGTCATTAAATCACAAAACCTTATTAGAAACAAGAAAAGAATGGTGTCAAAGATATAATCCATTCGTACGTGGTGAGGACCGTGTAGCCAGCACGTCGCCCAGCCCTTAGCCGACCCAATAAGATTGACACCAATACGGACCTCGCGGCACTCACCGACCAGCACTCATAATCAGTTGCCCTTAATTCAGCTAACAGTACAATAGTTCAACGCTGAATAGCGAATCGAATTGACGATCTTTGTAGCAACAATGATTAGAGCATAAGAAAATATAATTAGAAACTCGGATTTAAGTTTAATTTATGTAATTTTTGTTGAATTATCTAATTGTTTTATTTTAGGTAGCTCATCAAGGTATTTTTTTTCTGTCTTTCTATTATGTTTAAAATTGTGAAGTGCAGGAGCTCTATACCTTAATGTAAATACGTTTGGCTGGGACCCCACGATACAGGCTTGCCTAGTGTGGGGACCGCGTTTAATATTTATCTGATAAGATCTGCTACACTTATTTTATGTCTTGTTAAGCACTCCTGTAATTTATTTTTATTTGTGTTTCCAAATAATAAAAAAACATTTTCATTTTTTCATTTTCAATCAGCTGATGATAAAGATATTAATGTTGTAATAGGAAATCTCCTCAGTTTTTCATTATAAGTTTTAGTGTTAATAAATCCTTATTCCTATGAAAAATCATACGTTTCGGGAGTAACCAGTCGGCAAGCTGTACGTAAGGGATTGCTTTGCAGTGTGTTCACCGTTGACAACGGTTAGCCGGTGGCAAACGCGTACCGAATACTAACTACAAACATTATTAAGATTAGGGACTTAGTACACTGCTGCGATGTATCTACACAATCGCGCTCATTTATAAATGAGTATTTGAATTTCATGAAGAGTTTGAAAACCTTCCTGATTTCTGGACTCCTGAGTTGCAGGCGTTCATGGGCGGCGGTAGTCGCTTTCCATCAGGTCCCGTCTGCCCTATTCCATAAAATCTGTAGATACGAAATTATTTTTATCAATATCAGATTAAAATTATTTATGTTAAAAACTAGTTAGACTGATGATGCTTTTGAGATTATTGAGATGAATGTATTGAAATAAATATATGTTTCAACTGTATAACAAATAAAATTACAAATTAATAATCTGTATTATTTTTTAGTTTACTCAGTATTTACAATATACAATTTACGAAATAAAATTTAGGATCTAAATCTAGTGCCATCGGAGTGGGAACTCTCTCGCTTGGTAACATGATTGTCGCCATGGTACTGAGCGAGAGTGCATGGAACTCCGCCGTTTCCTTCTGCGAGCAAGTTATGCTTGCAAAAGAAATGGCGGAGCGGGAACGGGAGAGGTTTAGAACCGTCCCGGCGCGCCAGGCCCGGGAACGGGCCAGGTACCGCAGACGACTCGCAGAACGTTATGGCAGACCGAGCTCATCGCAAAACGACCTCCGTCCTCCATAAGCGCAGGCCTGGGGGTGGTAGGTGAGACCATCTGTCACCCTAGCAGAAGCAGGCCGGGCGATGGTGAGGCACGCGGCGGAGCGCGCGCCCTTTTGTAAAAAATAAAATTGCATATATAGTGTCAATTAACTTTTGCTCTTTTTTCTGTCCCGACTGAATAAGAAAACGTCTATAAATGCCAATTTTCACGTTTACGTAAGATTAATTATGATTTTAAAAATTTAAAACATACGCTTTTTTTATTTTAAAACTAATAAAACTAAAATCTACTATCTTGATACGTTGATATTTACTATTACTATCCATAGTTTCAGTCCAGTAGACAAAAACCTTAACTGCAAAGTGTACAATGCACTCACGTTGACATAGGACACAACAATGACACATTCGCTAGAACCTAATACTCTTTGATGCAGCCATTTGTATGCTTAAGCATTTTATTGACTACGATCAGGTATTCCATGAGCAACTTGATCAGGAGAAATCAGTTACAAATACCATCATTACTACCATGTAAGTACTTGGTATTTGAGAGTGTTCAGTGATATGTGATCGCAAAACCTTATCGAGAAGCCGTTTCACATAAATATTAGGTATGTTGTGCAGGTGTGCTGTCCGTGTGGTGATTGATTAAGAATACAAAATGTCACCACCCCTATTCATACCGTGAATGTCGTAAGAGCCGACTGAGGGAGTAAAATACGCAGGACAACAGCACTGCAAAGAGAAGGAAAACTTGAAACAAACCCGTCTAGCCAGCGTGGTATAGTAGGCTAAAACCTCCTTTCTAAGGAGAGGCCTATGTCCAGCAGTGGACTATTGGAGGCTGTTGATGATGATGTGCTGTTTATAATTAGATATTTAGATCAAGCAAAATGAATTTTAAAGGTAATACTAATTTTACCTGTTCTCTTATTAGGAATGCAAAAGGATTCGTTCTGTCTCTTTTTCTATTAAAAGTCTGTAATCAAATAATTACCTTTAAATATAAAAATATGCTTAGTATTTGTATATTCATAAATATGTTGGTCTAAATGTGAGTAGCACTATCATGAAATGTGCCCGTACTGTCTGAATATGGAAGCTAGTGTAGTCTAGCTACTCGTAGCTAAGCTAGCTAGATCCACAATAAAATACTTTGACTTTGACTTAGTCTCGGGTCGGTAAACATCCTTACGGTTCTATTTTTGTTTTTTATGGTATAAGGGGGCAACTACCGCCGCCCATGGACACCTGTAACTCAAAAGTAACAAGTGCGTTGCTGCCCTTGGAGTCTGTTCCGCTCGAGTCCGAGTCCATCCAGAAAGATGTAAGAAGTATTATTTTCTCAATTTCCAGATTAGAAGCGCTGTTGATTCCGGCGATGGTATGTTGTGTGTCGAGTGGCAGAGCACACGGAGAGGACTCGGTAGGACGTCGGAGTCGCTGCTACCTCTACTGCTACTGCTGTTAGCCTCAGCCGCTGCTGACGTCATCTTCAGAGTACCTGAAGTACTGGTGAATGACACTTGTTATTTGTTTGCACTTGTATTTAATAAACTACCGGATTTATGAAGATAAAATTTATGCTAGAAGTTTATGAGTCGAATAAGTGGCTAAAAACAGACTTTACGAAACAGCCATTAACGAGGTTTAAAGCCTTTAAGGCGGAAGTTTATATGGATGTCCTAGGTTTTAGTAATAGACCCTGAGGTGTCTAGTATGAAAACAAAGGACTTTAATACCAGTATTAGGCAGCGAGATATTATTATTGTTTTAAATATTTGCTTAACATAATTATCTCAACGACATTAGATATATCAATCCCCATTGAGGATGATCAAGGATTTTCAAGTAGAAAATTATTTATAATTTACAAATAATATAAATGATGCAGAGTCCATAAGAAATTGGGTGCCTGCAGGGGCGTGCGCTCCTTGTAGGCAGAAATGCAGTGCTTTACTTGCTATTCACAGACATTTTAATAAAACGTTGGTACGTTTTAGATGACTTTAATTAATAGTAAATAAATGAAAAAACAAAATATAATAACTTAAAAACGCGTACTATTTACAAACAGCATAGCACCACACAAACATTGTTTGCCAGGTGTTTACCGAAAAGCAAGCGCAAAGCAACTCATGCCGTCGCCTCGCGCAGGACATTTGTTCGCATGTGTGTAGTAATTTTGGTGTCCGTGCACAGTTCGCATACGCACACACCCATTTATTTTATATGCCCGACTACAGCCGCAGGATACGCAGTTGGCCTTCGGGTTCCCGCGCTAATCGTTGTCGTCAGTATTCGGGTATAATCGGCAGTGTTCGTTGCCTATAAATCCACCCAATTACAATAGTCAGAAATATAATGAATCATGTATGCGGATTATCAATTTTGAATATGGTAAGGTTTTATTTGTTTAATTAGCAGATATGTTTCTTAGTCGCGGGGGCCATATTGATTTTTTCATGTGATAAGCATTGTTTACTATTTTCTTTCCGCCAGTATAATTATAGTTTTATTTGAAAGTGTGTACATTTAACAGTTTATTACTGAGTTCAGTTGATTTTTTTAAAATGTTATTTGATTGTGAGTTATGTGTGGATAATGTATGTCTATTAAAAATTAAAAATAACAAGTTCTCACAATTGCCATTCAGTGAAAAGATTAAAATTGTGTCTAAAGGTAGGTGTGTACCCGAGTTACAACAATTAAACCAGCAAAAAGGAAATGTAACTCGCAAGTTTCATGTTAAAAGTTATGAAACGTATAACTGGCTGTGTGGTTGTGTACACACGATTAAATTATATTGTTTTCCTTGCATATTGTTTAGTAATTCTAGTACAGTGTGGACTGATTCGGGATATTCAGATTTAAATAATTTCTATTCTGCAGCAAAGAAGCATGATGCATGGGGAGTAGTTATAATATTTTAGCCTATTATTTTACTTATTAGAAGTTCTTCCGCCGCGACGATCTATCGCTGTTTTGTCTGCGTTCCCGTTGAAGATGTACATGAATAGTAGTACATCTAAGACTTGTGCTAAAAATCTATAAAAGAAAAAGTGACCGACTACTCCGCCGCATACCTAGTGTCATAATCCTGCGCACGCCGTTGGGTGCCTGTCCTAAATCTTTTTAAATTTTAATACCATCAGATATTCCTTAATATTGCTCTTAGTGAATTTTCTACCCATCCTAAACTTGTCTTCATTAGTCTGTTTCCAATCCATCAGGTGCGCCATGCAGCTGCCCCAAAGTCAGTAGGCACTGGCAGCAGGAACTCCTCGCGCGCTAACGACTCGGAGCAGAGGGCGGGTGATGACACACTGCTCGAAGTACGTTACGAAGAGTACTTCGTAGAACATGACGTTTCAACTGCCGATGCACGCAGGGCGGCACATAACCTCAATTTGGAAGACAGTAAGTTGACGAGGCACTTCTTGCTTATAACTTTTTTTTTTAAATACTAGAAATTCCCTTCCCTTCCCTACGGTTGTTTAAACTAAATAGTTTTATTAGACGTGGGTTTAGTGGAAATTGTTGGTTCGATTCAAAACCGCGACCATTTAATCAGGAGTCCAATGCCCAGCGCGCTGCTGTCGTAAATTTGCGAATAATTTGTTCATTAGCTCGATATCTAATGTGGTATTAAAAGTATGCATAGTGGTATTGAACCGTGTAGCTTGATTAGTAAATTAAAAAGTAGTAAAATTAAGTTAAGGTTTTAGTAAAATATTTCCTGATCAACGATATCTTAAATCTCTAACCAATCAATTCAATCTTTAATCGTCTAGAAAAAAAAGAGGCTCTGAAGTCAACCGACCAAATTCAATCTTTTTTAAACATTTTTAAGCCAATTACGTGACATTTAGAATTACACTAAAATCCTAGTAGTTGTTGCGTAATAGTCGAACATCCTAATTACTTCAAAATCACAAGTCTAAAATCCACATACATAGAATTAAACATTATACATTAGATTTAATTATACATTAGAATTAAATTGAACACAATTTGCCGAAGAAGCGATAATTTGAATTGTTAACTTATTAGTTTTACATCAGCAGTTTCAGCCGCTTTAACGGAAAAGAAATATATCTTCAGAAAACCTATATATCTGAAAGATCTTCTTAATATTATAGAAAAAATTTGTAGACTCTACCAACCAGTAACAGGCCAGGATTGATGAACTACGCACTTATACAAATATATATAAAGCTTACATCTCTTACTAGAAAACCAGTAAAATAACAATGTATATAATTGTAAATATCTAACTTATAGTGTATTCTAAGTACCACTTAAACAATAAATGTTTTTACTACTTCAACATTCCAGCCAGCTCATCTCATACTCTCTTGTAATAACGCATCATAAATACGAATAGATATCGTGTAGATATGACAGATATGACGCAAGGACAATTACTTGAGCACGGCGGTCCGGCTTTAATTAAACGCTGTCATTTTCTTGTAAATTAGGACTGATGCAAACCAAGGCCAACTGGATTAGAACGGAGAACGGGACATCTGGAGATCGGGAAGGTAGATTCAATTACCGTAATAGGTTTTAATTTCGGCTGTAGAAGGTAAATTGGTGTAGACTGCACGGATGGCGTAGTGGTTTAAGCGGTCGCCACGCCGCTTCCTATTACGCCGAGTGTTGTGGGTTCAAACCCCACATGGGACGACACTTTGTGTGATCCACAAATTGTTGTTCTGAGTCTGGGTGTTCTTTGTGTCCGTTTCATGTATGTTTGTAAAGTCTCCCGCGACACAGGATTTATTTCTAATGCGGGCGTTGTCTTTTAAAAAAAAAAAGTTGATGAATTTACTAAACATAAGGTGGAACACGCTTTTCTTTCTGCGTGGTGAATATTGATATCATAATTTACAAACATAAAAGGTATACAAGTATGTTCTTTTTCAATTATTAGTTGTTGATAGATCACAAAGTATTGAAACATCCATCTTAATTATGTTTCTCAGTTGTGATTAGCTCATGTCCTAGTTGCCTCTCCGCCATGACGGACATGGGTGAGGGTGAGGCGATATCGTTAAAAGCTGTAGGAAGAACAGGAAGTTGAAGATAATGTCTTAAGTTTTTGTCACACTTCTAAAGTTTTACAGTGTCAAAGTTCACTAAAGTCTTTTTTGCATACCTGATAGCCGGGATTAGACGTGTATCGTCAATTGAGGCTATCCTCAAAATAATAATGGGCCGGGTCATCGACCGCTGTGACGTACACTTTTGCCAGCTTAATAGCCGTTAGTTAAGATCCTTTTAAGAAAGCCGAAAAAGATAATCCATCAACTTAAAGCTTTAATATTCACCAGTTGTCACCGGAACCGAACTAGACACAAAACATCGTAGACGTCTCCGTTACCCAATAACAAAATACTTACCCACCTAAACGGATGAGTAAGCGTGCAACCAACCAATCCACGCAAACCATATTATTTATAGAGATGACTTTCCTTAATTGATCCAGATGATAGAAGTTAATTGATGGTATCAGTAGGAATTGATCGAGAGGCAATTGGTAGCAGTGTTTTATCTGTTTGGTTAAATATCGTATTGTTTGTAAATAGGTTCAGGGAGAGAAGTATTACGGGGGAGGGTCGTCTACTTGTTGTAGATGGCCCGAGGTATGTCCGGGCACCAGGGACTTCCTTTCTAGGGTATACCTGGTTCCCCGGCTATTAGTACCCGAGACGGCGTGCGGTTTTAGTCGGTTCGTGTCCGACATGCACCCTATAGGTGGTATCCGAGGGGATTTCCGCAGGGAAAAAAAAAAATAGAGGGAGAGAAGTATTAAAGGAATATTATTGGGCTATGGCCTTTTACTACCTGTGTGTCTTTAACACAAAAGATGTGTAGTTCTAAATACGTTGGGTGTATGTAAGACTGTATGAAGGGCATCTATTTCTTAATTTAGATATTTAAAAGTTTTAGTTTTTTTAGCACGTTTTTAGTTAGCTTAAATTCTGATAAGTAAGAACAATACATGAAAATAAAAAATCAAATGTGTCAAAATAGTATGTGGAAAATGTTCTTGGCCTCACAAAGGTCTTTCTTTATATTAATATTTTTACGTATTCATTTGTATTCCTGGTTATTTTCTAATTTTAAATAAATTTATAAATGTCTATTGTCACAGCTATTCCAATCAATATCCAAAAAGTTATTCAAATCTTTTTAGATCTGCTAAAACTTGGTGTATGAAGGGAATAGTTATGATAAAGAATATTTATTATGTTAATTAAACAGCAATTGTGTGTCGGAGACTAACAATACGCCATAAAAATGAGATTACGACAACTAACAGTAATGTGGAAACAATTAATGAGATAATCCGCGAATCACGCAACACCTGACTCCTGTGGCCACGCATTGCTTTCCATGTAAGTATACTCGTATCTTGTTTAGGTGCATTCAACAACTTCATAATTATGGAACGCGGTCCTTTTACTACGGAATTCAGAATAATAGCGATCCTTAATACCTAAGTATTTTAACATATCGTATAAGTATTTAGAAATCTATCTACGTAATAGGTCTTTACCTATGAAATTGCCGTTTTGTATGCAATAAGTGAAAGTACTTATTTTTTTAAACTTTTTCTAACTAACTAATCACCCATGCAATCGACGCATCTTTGCCAACGCATTGGCAGTTTATTGATGCCTTTCTTGTAAAAATCAGCTGGACGGGAGGCAACAAACTCTTCAGAGGCATTTTGTACTGCCTCTCGGGAATTGAATTTTTTACCCACTAAAAAGTTGTCTAAATATTGGAAAAAGTAATAGTCGGTAGGTGCAAGGTCTTTTATATATATATTTATCTAAAATATAAAATGGTCTAAGTGGCTATGGAGACATCATCATTATCAACAGCCTTTAATAGTCCACTGTTGGGAGTTGGACAATTAGTGCGTGACTGTCATACCACTGTTCAATAGCTTTAAATATATACATTAAAGGGTCGACTTTAAATACATGTGTAAATATTCAGCTTGCTTTGGTAGACTTGCATAGTTAAGCCTATGTCTCTCAAATGGCCACTCATAGACACTTTCAACTCGAGTCACAAATGAGTAGCCGCTTCTTGTCATCAACAACATTTAGTAGTCCACTGGCTGGACATAGGCCTCTCCTCAGATGCGTTGGTATAGGGGTAATGTCAAGTTTTCCTTCTCTTTGCAGTACCGTTGTCCTGCGTAGCTTGCTCTCTTAGTCGGCTCTTACGACACCCACAGGATGAATAGAAGTGGTGACATTCCGTATTCTTAATCTGTTACCACATGGACGGCTCTTCGCATTTTTTATTATATTATTAGTCTTTAATCTCTCAGTCTAAAGATAATTAAACTAATAAGTGACATGTCAGGGAGCTTGTAGCGTTGTAATCCAAGGCTAAGAAATTAAAACTAAAGTGCAGTTGTCAGTCACGTCACATGTCGCGTTAATTGAGATTACCCATGGCGTTAATTAACATCATCAACAGCCTATACTAGTCCACTGCTGGACATAGGCCTCTCCTTAGAAAGGAGGTTTTGGCCTACTATACCACGCTGGCCAGACGGGTTGGTATAGGGTTTGTTTCAAGTTTTTCTTCTCTTTGCAGTGCTGTTGTCCTGCTTAGTTTGCTCCCTTAGTCGGCTCTTACGACACCCACGGGATGAATTGGGGTGGTGACAATTTGTATTCTTAATCCGTCACCACACGGACTAAATGGCGTTGGTTAATTGGCGTTAATTATATCAAATAGAATGCCGTTTTAACAAGCCGTACAACATATAAATGTATATTTCAGGTATTAGGGAGATAAGGGAAATAATGTATTGTGATTTATGGTTGCTTTAATCTTGGGAGAGCCATGCTTTGGCACGAATGGGCCGGCTCGACCGGAGTGATACCACGGCCTTACAGAAAACCGGTGTTAAGCAGTTCTTTTGTTGTTTTTCACTGAGTGAGTGAGGTTACCGGAGCCCAAATCCCTCCTCCCGCTGAACGAGCGGGAGGGACTCCAAGGGCGGCAACGCACTTGTGACTTTTGAGTTGCAGGTGTCCTTCTGCGGCGGTAGTTGCTTACAATCAGGTAACCCATCTGCTAGTTTGCCCCCTTATGCCATTAAAAAAACCTATATAACAAGTGAATAGAATCTTTATGCTTCACTTAAATACAGTTTCACGGACGGCGGAGTAATTTATATTACTCAGTTTGTTTGTAGGAAAACTGAATATACATTTAAAGTTGATTAATTATGGTTAAAACTCTACAATACGTCTATTGCAGAGTTTTAACCATAATTATCAGATACCGTCGTATCTGATACCCTGGTTCCCACGCCGCGTCCTTTTTCCTTACTCTGATTTATCTTTTTTTGTTTATCCTATCGGAAAACAAACACATTCTCA